GCACCAGAGCTTTCTGACAGAGGACTCAATGTCTCACAAAACTATAGTTCTTACAATCCCCTAGCATTGAGCCAAGGCAGTTAAAGTGGTCTCAAACTGGATTATTTCTGCAGTGCATTTTGGACCTTAGTGGATCTGCTCCAGTTGGGATTATCACTTGGATTTAGGCCCATATGGATAACCTGAAGGCCCACCTATACAGTCTGTATCCACTGATTCTTTATCCACAAATTCAACCGTCTATGGTTTGGAAATATTCAAATACATGGCAAAAACAAGGTTTGCTTTTTGGAATATATATATATATATATATATATATTCCAAAAGTAAAACTTGATTTGCCATTTAATTTAAGGAACACCATTTTATTCCACCATTGTATATAATGATACTTGAGCATCCATGGATTTTGGTATCCAAAAGGAGCCTTGGAACCAAACTCCAGTGGATACCAAGGACCAGCTGTATTAACGAAACCTTTATGATGCTTAATACTGCACAAGTAGCTGTTTGAACCCTCCTCCATAAAAATGTTCATGAAATCCTCAAATACATTAACTAGGTTTGGATTTAGGTGTAATTTTAAAGAGATGTGTGTGTGAGTTTTAGCGATTTCCTTTCATGTTCTACCTCATCCTGAAGATGGAGATTAGAACTGCATCTGCACTGCAGAAACAGTGTGGTTTGACACTGCTTTAACTGCCAAGGAATCCCAGGATTTGTAGCATGTTGTGACACCAGAGTTCTGACAGGGAAGGCTAAATATCGCACAAAACTACAGATCCCAGAATTCTATAGCATAGACTCTATGCCATAGAGTCATGGCTTAGACTCAGAGAACCATAGCGTTGGAAGAGACCACAAGGGCTAGCCAGTCCAACCTCCTGCCATGCAGGAATTCATAATCAAAGCACCCCTTGTGACAGATGGCCATCCAACTTCTGTTTAAAGACCTCTAAAGAAGGAGACTTCACACTGAAGGAGTGTGTTCCACAGTCAAACAGCTCGTACTGCCAAAAATTCTTCCTATTTTTTAGGTGTAATCTCTTTTCCTGTAGCTTGATTCCATTGCTCCATCCTCAGTATGACATCCTTTCAAATACTTAAACAT